TGAAGGTATAAACGTTAAAACAAAAACTGATGGATTTGAAGGTATAACGATAAAACAAAAATGGATGGGTTCGAAAGTATAACGATAAAACAAGAATGGATGAATTTGAAGGTATAACGATAAAACAAGAATTGATGGATTTGAAGGTATAACGATAAAACAAGAATGGAAGGATTGAAGGTATAACGATAAAACAAAAATGATGGATTGAAGGTATAAACGATAAAACAAAGAATGGATGGGTTCGAAAGTATAACGATAAAACAAGAATTGATGGATTTGAAGGTATAACGATAAAACAAGAATTGATGGATTTGAAGGTATAACGATAAAACAAGAATTGATGGATTTGAAGGTATAACGATAAAACAAGAATTGATGGATTTGAAGGTATAACGATAAAACAAGAATTGATGGATTTGAAGGTATAACGATAAAACAAGAATTGATGGATTTGAAGGTATAACATTAAAACAAGAATGGACGGATTGAAGATATAAACGTTAAAACAAAAACTGATGGATTTGAAGGTATAACGATAAAGCAAAAATGGACGGATTTGAAGGTATAACGTTAAAACAAAAACTGATGAATTTGAAGGTATAACGATAAAACAAAAATGGAAGGATTGAAGGTATAAACGTTAAAACAAAAACTGATGGATTTGAAGGTATAACGATAAAACAAGAATTGATGGATTTGAAGATATAACGATAAAACAAGAATGGATGAATTTGAAGGTATAACGATAAAACAAGAAGAGAAAAAAGGTGAGTTGTTTGAAATAGGAGCCTATCTATCTTAGGATCAACTATTCTTTTACCTTATTGTAAATAGTCATTTTTACAAATACCACAATTACTTCGTTAACACTGAAAAATTAACTAACTGTTTCTACGAAAAAATTTTGTTTTTAAAATGTGTAATACGACAAGCTTGTCGTCGGAATAAAATCATGTTCTATGTAGAAAAGACTTGTTTCGATCTATTACTGAGCCATATAGTTGCTCAATGTATTTTTGAATGTAATTGATATCAACTTTGATACCACACAAAGTATGTCAATCAATGGATAATGAAATAAATCCTTATTCATACAGCAGCTGAACGAAAAATGCATTTTTTTTTCTGCAATAGAGAACCCCTATTAACAATCATTGGAGTATAGGTACAACCAATAAAATGTTTAAAACTTTCAAACGATATTTCTTGATCATTTTTCCAACTTAATGTTATACGACTTTTGGACAATATTATAGTAGGGATGTTTAATTCAATCTGGTTAGTGTAGTTATTAAAAGTAAAGTTAACGATTTGAATTTAAAAATTTCCTTTTTATAGCACTGGAGTGTGATATTTGTAGGCTTCTGTATGGAACAAAAACATATATGACATAAAAAAAGACGTAAGAGTACCAGTGATTGATTTTTAACTAGTGCGAGCACACTTGAAAGTTTCTTTAATGCATAAACAATACTATAGTTTCCCACTCGAAATAATTATTTGTTCTCAAATCAATGTACTAGAAGGCCAATATCATTAAATTTAACTCCAAAGACATATTACTAGTGTATTACAGCAATAAGTACTGTGAACAAATTTGACTTGAAACAATTAATCTTAGAAGTACCACGTAAAGATAAATTATTTTACTGTTCTATTAAAGCAACTGATAATTTCAGTTAGGAAAATGTCGCACAAGACGTCTGACAAGGTAATAATAGTGATTTGCACACATTTTGGCTTATTAACAAACTTGATATTTTCCTTTTCGAACTGTTAAGTCATGTTTCTAATTTATGAACACAACTTTAAAATATTTCTTGTTTTAAAGCATTACATCTGTTCTTTTGTTGTTAAGTGCAAAATTTCGTTTAACATTGATTGATTATGTTTCGCAAATAATTTTTTGGGAGAATAAAAAACAAAAAGGGTTTACTGTATGAGAATACGTTGAAGATGATTATGTAAAAACCTTGCTTTACTCAAAATGAGAGAAAAAAGTATCTGCTGTTATCTGTTGTTTTAAGTTTAGTTATAACTTCTGAAACCATATTCAAAAAATATTATGTATTGACAAAGGTTACTCTCGATTTTCTGAAATTTCCTTAAATGACCATAAAAACTAGTGTACAAACTAGCATAGATAAATCACTTCATTAAAATCAAGTTTTCCAGCATCGATGATGTAGTTTTTCGTTTATTTTACTTTTTTTTAGTCTTAATATCTTAGTGACTTGGTATAACTGATATATTAAATACCACTTACTATTTTACAACCGTATAGCCTAGCGTCACATGACGTGTTCTACGAGCAAGAAAACGAGGCCACAGACTTATTATGAAGGTACAAGTTTATGTTGTTGTTTTTTAAATAGATCGTTAAATATTAACCTGTAAAATATTTTGGTAATTTTTGCTGGATTCTCATAGCTGTAGATATCGACGATAATACTCGAGCACTACCAAACTTCGGACTGGGGTATAGGAAAGTGTGTTATTATTAATTAATTAAATGGCTTGGGTTTTTCATTATCAGAATAAGATACAAAATACAAAGAAAAGGAACTTTTACTTATTGCCATATACATTAATTGTACGTGCCCTACGATTACATTATTCTTTACTGACTAACTTTTAACCACCGACTTAAAACAACTATATCAATTTACTTTATAACAATATTGAACACCCTTACTCAAGAATATATTCTTATAATTCATTATTTAATTTCTGTAGTGCATATTGGTGTATGGAAGACACTTTAATACTAGAAATAAACGACCTTGTAACACCAAATTGTGTTTAGTGCTCAGTTAAAGCCTATAGATTCTATTATAATTTATTATTCAAACCATTTGAAGCTTTATACTGTCAGTTACACGCTAACTTACGAGTAGTACAAAATGTTACAAAGGTTACGGAACACGAATATTAAACATATAAGACAAACTAGTACTTATTGTTTTTGTATGCAAAATGTTTGAGATAAGGGTGTGTTTACTCTTGCTGAAAATAATATTTAATCAACTGGTTCATAAAAGTTTATTTAAAGGTCTATCAATGTAATAATAAAATTATTGAAAGAAAAAACGTCAGATTACCTGGCAGACATTATGACATGTGAGAATAAAAATGGTTTGACAAGGTAGCAGCAAACAATGCTCTAGCTAAAACAATGATATTGTCACTAGCTTCTGGGGTCGAAGTACCGTCAACTTTGTATTAAAGTTGTTTTTCTTATCATCATACAGTCTGCTCAACTTTGTAAAATAATTTCATCAACATACATAATAATCCTTAATTTGGTACATACAATGTTTCGCAAAAGTATTCACCCCTACCAATAATGTCACAATTTGATGAAATACAAATAATTTAAACAATTTTTATAATGAACTTGTTTTTATTCAAAACTCTAATGATCAAACTTAACACTGTTATATGTGAAGAAGGTTGAATGTCAAGGGGCAAACATTACACCATCCCATTTGGCAAAGCTGGTAGAAACTTATCCTAAAAGATTCACAGCAGTAATTTCTGCCAAAGTTGCTTCCACCAAGTACTGATTTAGGGGCTGAATACTTATGTAATCAGCAAATTTCAATTTATATATTTTTTTTTCAGGTTTTGTTCTTCTTCCTGGCAAAATTGCTCCAATTCTGACAAGTTCATTGGGGATATTTGATGGGCTGCAATCTTCAATTCTCGCCATAAATTTTCCATTGGATTCAAGTTAGGACTTCGACTGGACCACTCCAGGATATCCACTTTCTTTTTTGAAACCACTCCAGTGTGGCTTTGGCTTTGTGCTTCAGTTTTAGCTTCATGGCTGACTCAAGAAGTTTTCTTCTAGGATTCGCCTGTACTTTGCACCATCAATCTTCTCCTTAATCCTGACGAGCTTTCCAGTCCCTGCTGATGAGAAGCATTCCCATAACATTAGACAGTTGGGATGGTGTTGACTGGGTGATGTGCTGTGTTGGGCTTGCGCTAGACGTAAAACTTTTGAATTTAGACCAAAAAGTTCAATTTTTGTCTTTTCTGACCACAAAAACTTTCTGCCACATGTCTGCAATATCAGTTACATGCTTTGTTGCAAACTCCATACGAGATTTAAGATGATTTTTTATCAGTGATGGTTTTTTCTTGCCACTCGTCCATACAGACCAGCTTTGTGTAACTGTCGGTGTTGTGAACACTGACGGCCATCTCAGGCATGGAACTTTGCAACTCTTTCAAAGTCACTGTTAGATTCACTGTGACATCCGTAACCAGATTCCTGCTTGCGCGGCTGCTTAGTTTGGAAGGGTGGCCTGATTTGGGTAGTGACTAGGTGGTATGAAGCACATTCCACTTCTTAATGATGGACTTCACCGTATTCAAAGGGATAATCAGCGACTTTGAAATTTTATTGTAACTTTCTTCTGACTTGTTTGGAAAGCTCCTTGGTCTTCATGGTTGGTTTGTCGTATCACTATGTCAGTTGTGGCTCGAACAGTTTGGTTTGAATTTCGCGCAAAGCTACACGAGGGCTATCTGTGCTAGCCGTTCCTAATTTAGCTGTGAAAGACTAGAAGGAAGTCTACTATTTTATCAACGAATAGTGGTATTGACCGTCACTTTATAATGCTCACACGGCTGAAAGGGCGAGCATGTTTGGTGGGACGGGGATTCGAACCCGCGACCCTCAGATTGCGACTCAAGCCCCCTAACCACCTGGCCATGCCGGGCCGGCTTGAACAGATGCATTTACTCTGAAGTCAATTTAAACCAGTTTGATTACATACAGCCAGAAGCCATTATACTAATTTTGTGACCTTTCAAACTAATCTTTTGCACATGAACTGATTTAGGATTGCCGTAGCAAATGGGTTGAATACTTATGCAATTGATAATATTCTAATTTTCTTTAAAAATTTAACTTACTTACATAATATCAGCGTTTTTTTAGCTTTCTCAGTGTGAAGTAGATTGTGTAGTTTCTAAATATAAAATCCCATTTGAAAGTTTCATGATTGCAAGCTCAGACGGCAACTAAATGTGGAAACTTTGCAGGGACAGTGAATACTTTCGCAAAGCACTGTAAAGTAAACAGTCTCCTAAAATATTTATTGATAATTAACAAAAATTATCCATAGAAAAATAGTATGCTAATTATTGTTACTTTATTCTCGTTACCTTTCATTCAGTTAGGCTAACATGAGATTACATAAAGATTTAGCTCATCATATAGAAAGCTGGTGTGTATCAATCACATCATCTAGATGTCATCTAGTTGATACAGATTAGAGTTTGGTTTAATACTACTAATACGTTTATATTTCTTAGATCCGTTGAATCTAAATAGTTCTATTGGAGAAATATAAATCGCATGTAGGTGCACACATCTCTGGATTTTCAAAGCTTGATCACGAAGCGTGAAACACCTAGAACATTATCGGAAGCACTAATTTTGCGGTACACATCTGCGTTACGGACGACGTGTACCGCCTCTTTGGTCAGTCGCATTTTGCGTTTCTTATTTTTGTGCTTCACTAACCATAAGAAATGATATCTAGTGGCTGCATATCTTATTACCGTTATGCCCCAATATATATATATTTTGTCTTATGAACAGATAAGACAAAAACAACATCCGATACATCCAGACCCGCTGGAAATTCCTGCAATCTGTTAAAGAAGTCAGTGTGCAGTCAAACTAAATATTTGTTTTGTCATACATTGCTTGAAAGCCATTTCGTGTAAAGTTATGGATAACATTTTTCTATCGAAACGCATCTATTTTTTTGTAAAACAGTTCCCGCTGGACAGATGCAACCAGGCTTACAGCGCCGTCTGCAAGGCTTGTTTTGTCTGTAGTTCCGACAGGTTCGCTTACACGCTGTACCACAGGTGGTAAAAACGGCGCCTTTCGGACAATAAACATCTGAAAAAAAAAGAGGACAAAATAGAAGTTTACATTCTTAATTCAAAATATCCTGAAATTCAAGGGGGGAAAAAAAAGACAAATATTTTACCCATAGCATTCACAACGGCTGCACATCTTTTTGAGAAAAGTTTTACTCAAGAGTTTCTCACCAATTTTAGAAGTAAGATTTTCATTTCGAATTTTGTTATAAACATTTATTTATGTTTTCAGGGGTATTTCACTTGTACCTTAGGAACACACACACACGCTGATAAATATTCAACCAGTCCATAATAGTTTGAAGACGGCTTGAATGGATAGTGAATAAAAACGCCGTTCCGTCAAGCTTATGTCATCATCGGGTACTTTTTGACAATTTTTACGTTTAAGAGATACTTGCACAATAGGATAGATTTAAAGTGGTGGACAAGTGAGGGAGCATACTAGAAATATATACACAAACTGGAGACTTGAGTAACTCAAATTTTATGACAAGGAACCCACTGTTTAGAAAATAAAGTTTGAAGATGGTTTGAATGGGTAGTGAAAGTCTGGGAAGCAAGTTCAGCTACAATAAACTTCTTTTAAAACGTATCCATTTCATCATGTAAAGCATTTAAAAACTAATTCTTCTACGTTTGTTTCTTCTCCTGAACGACACCTTATACACAAATTAGTTTGGTTTTGGTTTGTTATGAATTTCGTGCAAAGCTACAGGAGGGCTATTTGCGCTAGCCATCCCTAATTTAGCAATGAAAGACTAGAGGGAAGGAAGCTAGTCATCAACATCCACCGCCATCTTTTGGGCTACTCTTTTTACTAACGAATAGTGGGATTGACCGTCACATTATAACGCCCCCATGGCTCAAAGGGCGAGCATGTTTAGTGGGACGGGGAACCGAACCCGCGACCCGCAGATTACGAGTCGAGTTCCTTAACCACCTGGCCATGACATAAAATAGTTTAAACAAGGCTAACTCAGAGATCCCCAAGGTTCAGATATTGCATTCCCTAACTTTGAACTACGAACAAGAGAAAAGACAAACCGTTGGCAGCACCGGCTACCCGAAGTGGTTACTCTTAACCAAATAACGGGATTGACTGTAACTCTTATAACGTAACCACAGCTGAGAGTATGAAGCGTAATTGATAATAACATGTCTCGAACCCAAGATCCTTGTGATAGTTTGAATTGTCAGAGTGCCTTACTAGCGATTGTTACTTTGTTAACCACCTTGCTAAGTTTGTAAAGCAATCAGTTATAGTATGAGCAGTTTCGGGTTCAAATTCTGCACGTGGGAGACGCAGAAATTAAAATTACCACAATAAAATCTCTTAAACTGTTTAGTCCATGAAATAATTTAAATTGATAGATTAACTTAAACTTTTCCCGTCACTGGGGACGGGTACTTTTGTTTGTTTACTGTATAGGCCTGCAAAAATATAGATTGAATTAAAAACAGTTTTCTTTGATTTTAACAATGACTAATTTCACTGTAATGAATGTACGTTTCTGGTGAACACAAGTGATCTTTACTATTAGACCTACCTGTTCTTCATGTTTTGTCCCCGAAAATGTAACTTTTTCTATTGAAAATACACAAATCAGTAGCAAAAATAATTGTCAAAACGTTTTCTGTGCTTTTCATCATTAGAATTAAAAAACTATTGAAGTATTTAGTTATGAACAAGAACTCGCGGCGAAATGTAAATATAGCTACTAGAAACCCCAAATCTCAGCTTCATTGAAAAGCAACAGCTTAAATAAAGTTTAATTATGAAAGAAAACAACTCAAATTGTATTTTAATCAACAAGCGACTGTTTTGAACACGGCTTAATCAAAATAGAATAATTTAAACACGGTTTAATCAAAACAGAATACCTTAACATTGGTTTAATCAAGGGAAAACAAATCACGACTTAAACAATAACTGAAAGCACAGCTTAATCCAAAGGCAACAACTTAATTCAACGGCTTAATAACCCAAAGAAAACAATTTATTCAACGGTCTGACGAAGAGACAACAACAGAGAAGCTAATTTGGACATATAAAGCTAATCTGGATAACAGGGCTGGGCTAATGAGAAGCGAAAAAGCTCAAAGCTACAATTCTATGTTATGACTATAAGGTTTGTCAGGTAATATGATATATATATATATATCTCGTTGTAGGCTTTTTTAACTTTAGATATATGTATGTCATTTGTTTTTGGCCAGAGTAACTCTGATGTCACGTGATGGGCGTCTGGAATTTTCTTGAAAGTTTAGGAAACGAGTTGGGCGATACAACGGGGGTTGAAGTAGTTGTTGATTAACTAGTGAGTCGTTTACAATTTTTGTTTTTTAATATTGAGTCAGCAAGTTAGTTCAGCACTGTAAACTTTAAATTCATGTTTCCACGAAGTAACAGAGATACGGGAGAAGTTAACTACTAACTTACTAAATAACTGTTATTTACGAAGTTAAGCCTTCCCTTAGTTATGTGGAGATTATATAACTTTAATTAAAAACACGATGTATTGCTAAACTTAGAAGTGAGCAGTCGTTACAATCTCTCTCCCCCCTCACTCCAACAGAACAGCTATTTATAAAACTAGCTATTTAATATGACTCCTAATCTATCAATTAGAAATTCAAGAGAAATCATTGCTTGAAGTATATGATTAACGCAGCAATATATGCAAGTCAGAGAACTTCGTTTATTTAAAGCGTTCGATATTCGATATTTTCATTATAATGCCATCTATCCACATTTGAATGTATAAGAAACCAACAGTGTGAATAAACTTGTGGGAGTAAAATGCTTTCGTTAACATTAAGTGGACTGGACTTTGCGATATTTTTTACAATCCAAAGTAACCTACCTAACAATAGAAACCGCTACAACAGTATTTAAGCAACGGGGAAGTTCTTGTTAACGTAACTGCAAAATAATTATAAAAATAGAAACACTTGAGGAAAAATTTCTTTTTGTCTTCCTTAGCGATAAAGTATTTACATGACAAGTTTACGCAAAAGAAACATCGGTCCAAGTTCCTTACTTTCACATCCTGTGTTCTTTCGCCAGTTCAGCACAATTCCGGCCCGCTCGCATTCCCTGGCATAGGCGTGAAGAGCCTCACAGTAACATCTCTCTGTTAGGGGGCACTCACACATGTCAATAAGACAAGACCTAAAAGTAAACATTATATAAATTGTACAATTGTATCGTATTATTCATACATGCGTTTGTTTTTTGAACAAAACCACAGTGGGCTATCTGCCGTGTCCACCACGGCGAATCGAACCCCGGATTTTAGCGTTGTAAATCCGTAAACTTACCGCTGTCCCAACGGTGGACTCAGGCAAGCGAATCGTGAGAAGTGAGCCAAAAAAGTTGGGCAGCTATTAAACAGTCCGACATTTCGTATCAATTTCTTTTTTTTTTGGAAAATAGAAAAATCTTCATAAATTAAAAACTAATAAGAAAATTAGTGATACGATATTTTCTCGTTATATAATTACTTTTAGTTAATTAAAATCGGCACTATTTTCCTTATACAAAGAAAATATTCGAAAATTAGAAAGTAACTGTTTATTAACAATTAAATAATTTGTTTAGATTTGAAAAGCAACTTTTCTAACTTTCAAAACATTAGCATTATATATATCTTTATATTACATGTATCTGATTATTTTATTTGGATTCATTCAAAATTCTGTTTCTGAAATGAAAAGTCAAAAAGTATTTCATCAACTAATTTCTACCTTTGAGTTTAAAAATTTTCCTGTAAAGTCAAATTTTAAAAGCAACAAAATAGCTAATTAGCAAACTAGCTATTTAAAATAACTACCATATTATTTATTAATTAGAAATATTGCTATCGTATTTATTAATTAATTAGAAATATTGCTATCGTATTTATTAATTAATTAGAAATTCGGAAAAATCATTGCTTGAGTTATATTATTGTAAACCAGCAGTATAAGCTCTCAGTTTACAGACTTCCCTTAAAAGTGAATCTTCCCTCAATTAATCTCCAGCTCTGGTTTACCTACTTTCCTTAATCCTCAAATTACCGATCTTCACTCCTTTCTGCATGTGTGAACTGTATAACTCGAAAATTTTAATCTGGTCTCGATGAAATTTAGTACAAAGGTTGAGTGTCTTGCAAGAACCAGTTGATTACCTTTTGGTGAATGTAGCTCAAAGATCAAGGTTATATTGAAGTTCAACCTCTTGCGTTATAATGGTAGCATATTATTATTTTGATAAATAGCCAAAAATTGAGAAAACAGACAGAGGGTCTTGGCAACTAGGCCTGTATTTTTAAATCATTGTGAGACGAGGGTTGCACTCTCTGAGCGTCTATTTTTTATAATGTTCACTACCTCTGGAGTTCATATATTTTGTATTATTATTATTGAGTAATTTTAGGTTTTAAAATTAATTAATCAAAGGAAAATAAATCATGACTTAAACAATAACTGAAACCACAGCTTAACCCAAAGACAAAAACTTAATACAACGGCTTAATAACCCAAAGAAAACTATATGACTAGGTGAGGATTTAAAACCATTGTGAAACGAGGGTTACACTCTCTGAGCGTCTAATTGTTATAATGTTCACTACCTTTGGAGTTCATATATGTTGTATCATTATTGAGTAGTTTTAGGTTTTTGTGTGCTACAACAGTCAGTGTAAAGAACTGACAAAAACCCTGGCTGAAATCATTCATTTTCTAAGTACAATTGCAATATCGATGTTATTTTTGTTTCCATTTGTTTTGTGTTTCTCACATGCTATTAGAGACCCTTTAACCAACGAAGTCATGAATCCACAAGCAATTTCATGCATAAATAGCTTAGAAAAGTGTGTTTAAAAATATGGCAATTCCAGATTTAACAAATTTTAAGCTCCTAAAAGTGAAACACACTTCTCTCAATAAATATAAGATCTTCAGGACTAAAAGCTATTTTTCTCAACTAATATAAGGCCGTTTGTACTCCAACACATTTCTCTCAATCAGTACAAGGCCTTTAAAATTTAGATTTCATCTTCTTAATCTGTTTGGATGACTCCACCATTTCTCAGTAAATTTTCTTATATTCTTATAACTAAATACGTAATAAAATATGTATTTAAAGGTGAAAAGACATGTTTTGGTTTACTTAATATATATATATTTTCAAACTAAATTATCTCTCCGTTCTAAACCTAATTTTATCAAAAATCATATGATCAAGGCTTTATGTTTCAATGTTAATTCGAAAAAGACACTCAGTCACCATACTTTTGAGCTCCTTCTTAAAGGTTTTCATTGCATTTTTAACTTGTGTCTGATATGGTGAATATCATTAATATGCTGAAAACAAAGTAATGGTCAAAAATATGTACGTTTAATTTCAGTATCTCAATACAAAACTAATTTTCAGTGAGCCAGACCTGTTGAAATAAGAATTTGTCAGATATTGATTTTTTGTGCACATTTAAGTACAATAGCTGTCTGAAATTAGCTTATATATACATGTATATTTTTCTAAGTTATAAGTTATTATTTTCTTAATTTTTCGTTCTTGCCTGCTAATTAGTGGGTTCATGGACTACTAATTACTATCATACATATCGTTTTCCGACTGGATAAATGATACGATTATTGTAATCAAGCTTAAAAATGAAAATAAATGTGTAACAATTAATGTTAACACATTTCATACGTATATCTTTTAAATAAAATATAAAAAAACTGCAGCACTTTGTATAGGCCATTTGGCTAGGATTACTACATTTATATCGTTTTCCGACTAGATGAATGATACGATTATTGTAATCAAGCTTAAAAATGAAAATAAATGTGTAACAATTAATGTTAACACATTTCATACGTATATCTTTTAAATAAAATATAAAAAAACTGTAGCACTTTGTATAGGCCATTTGGCTAGGAATACTACATTTATATCGATTACATATTTTATTGGCTGAAGCGTTGTTTTCTACCTTGGTGACTCTGGTGCATCAAATCAGCGTCTGTTTGAAGGAGGATTCTGAAGAAAATTCAATAATCATAGCTATATGAATAGTAGGTTATCTTATATTTTTTCAGTCAATGATGATGCAACAAGTGAGTCACCTATCATGAACAGAATTAGAAACAAATAGTATAATGACGTTAGTTTAGTATCTAAGCACGAATCATAAGCTTGCTAAAGTAAACCCACAAGAAATGGTAGTGCTGGATTAAATAAAATAAAATAAAAATCCAGCTACCACAAGAAAATCAAAATTACAGGCGTACTGGTTACACTTAAAGAAAGACAAGTTTTTAAAGAGATTCAAAAAATGGAATGGCACGTGGGACTTACGAACAAGGTGGTTCGAACTCATAAAGCAGACTGCCCTGTAATAACAAATACTGGCACCTAGGATCAATGATTCGAACCGTTTTTTTTTGTTTGTTGTTTTTTCTGTTCTGGTTCGATACTCTTTCCGAAAGTTCCGAAAGCCGTATTTTTCTGTTCCGGTTTGAACGAAATAAAATACCCGTTAAATATACAGATTCTGGTTTTTTCTAGTCAAGTGGTATTGTACCGGTGTTTATGTGTCTTTATTTTATTGAATAGCATTACACAAATAGCATAAAATACACAAAATCCAGATAATTCTTCATTAAAGGAGAAAACAGTATGATGTGCAATTAAAAGGAATACACAACGTTAAAATAATTGTACAATAAATAATTTATCAAAATCAGGGACCAGTCATCAAAGACTACATGTTTCGATGTTCTACGCATACCATCTTCAAGAGTAAAAGTTGAAATGGAAATCTTAAGTATAGGCTTCAAATTTTTAGTTGATAAAAAATTTTCATTGAAAGAGGATTTCATTGTGTTCAACGGAAGTATGTTTCTAAATGTTAATGATAGGATAAAACATACAGCTAGAATAGAAGTAGTCAATGAATTGTTGAACCAGAAAGGTAAACCCAAGCTTAATTTAAATAATGTTGGGTTAAAACAGTAACGTTCATTGCAAAACCGGCCCGGCATGGCCAGGTGGTTAGGACGCTC